CCAAGTTTGAAGTGGCTTGGCCTGGCTTGTGTAAGTACCTAGGTGGGTCTTTCTTGGGATCTGGCTGTACGTCTAAAGCAGGTGCCTGAGCTGCGTGCTTCCCCAATGAAAAGCCCAACTCTGGGTGGGGAGAACCCTTAGCTCGTCTTTCAGGTGCATGAAGCAACTTTTTGTGCACTCTTGCACCTTCAGTAACACCCCTGGTGTAGAGCAATGGTCTCCAAACTTTTTTGATCGTGCACCCCTATTAGTAAAGTGTTTCTGAGCACACACCCCCAATATATATATGTTTATATAAATAGAAGTTCTAATATTTTCGTCCCGCACCCCAGTGGATCATCTTGCGCGCACCCCACTTTGGAGACTACTGGTGTAGAGGAATGGAAGGCAGAACGCCCTGGCTAGAGGCAGCATTTGTTGCGTCCCTGTCCCCAGGAAGGCTGGTTCTGCATGTTCTCTTGGAAGTGCTGAAGCCGGCCTGGATGTGCTGGGTAGGCTGCAGTGAGTTAGAGCACGATCAAAATCCCCAGCTACCTTCACAAGCTTCTCTTAAAGTCCTGTAGAAGGAGAGCACAATAACCAAATCCACAAGCTTTTTCCACTGCAACAGTCACAGACATTGTGCAAATAAGAAACTGGGCCAGTAGGTAAGTACTTCCTCTTTCAGGAAAGTAACCACAGGATCTGCTGCTAACTAGTCTGTGAATAAACCATTAAACCCCCCCCCCCCAAAACCTGCTTCCCAAGCTGATTTGGGTCACTTACGTGACCTGGTTTTTCACATTGTTGGTGAATTTAATGTGCCATTTGAATACTTGCAGTAGTGTAGTCTCCAGGCAGGGCTTCCTATCATGTGAGCTGCTGTGTTTCTTGGAGTGATACTGGCTGGCAGTTCTACAGCTTCTGCTGACCCATGAGTCCTGCTTGCCACTCCTAAACTGTATCTACCTGAAACCAAGATTACTTCAATTTAAGACGACCCCCAGTTAGATTGTAACCCAGGAAAGTGATCTGGTGAGAATTAGCCGTAGACTGACTCTCCGCGGGGGCTGGCTGCCCTCGCTTTACCGCTCGGCCGAGGCAGGGGGTGGGGGGAGGAGGGGGACGCCTGGCCCTGCGCCACCCTGGTGCCCCGTGCGGGTGCCTCTTGTGGGCACGGGTCCCGCGTGTCCCCCCGGCTCCGGTGGGGCTGCTTCCCGCGGTCCCGTGTTGTCTCGTCAGCGCCGGATTTACTCCGCCGGGGCAGCGGTCCCGGAGGAGCAGGGGGCGGGTTGGCGGCGCCGCGGGAGCGAGCCGGGGCCGGGCAGGAGGCTGCAGGCCCCCGGCGCGGGGGCGGCGCCGCGGCTCCTCCTTAAGTCGGGGGCGGGGCCTGCTAAGGAGCCCTTAGAGCCGCCGCCTCGCGTTTAGGTCCCGCGCTTAGGCCCATCC